AGATTTTGCACGCTCCAGCTTTTCTCTTTACATGTCTGCTCTCAGATTTCTCTGTTGCTCTTGGTTTTGTTTTTCTTCTGCACAGTTTTCCAAATTCCCCAACCAATAGAACGTCATGTATGCTGTAAACCATTTGAAATTGTCCCCACCCTTGTTCTGGTTGCGTTTCAAAAAATCTGAACGTAAGTCCTGCTCTCAAACTAAAAAAAACTCACTTTGATATACACTRAATTGATATACATTTCCAGTGCTAGCTAAAGTGAACAGTATTTTCTTAGAGATGGGTCATGAAATACTGTTAGAGAAAAAAATGCACTTGTAGGTAAAATAAATGAATCAATTCAATTTTATTTGTGTAGAAGTGTTCATACAGGCTTATGCAGTTAAAAATTGACTGACGAGCCAAGAGATACAAAAGAAAATAATACTCTGTTATTTCTTCTAGGGTTTTGTTACAGAGGAGAAATCAACAGAGCAAAGGTAAGCGAGGATGTAGCAAGTGCAGGTTTTACATGCGGGCTACATGTAGGCCACTGAATTGTCTCCAGTTGACTCATCATCTGCGTATTTTAATAACAAATTCATTTCCTCCCACTTTGTTTCAAGGTCCTCAACCAACTTGGCCATATTTGTCAATGAGTTTCTCACGGTAGCGTCGGTGTTGAGAGTGAGGGTCTCTATAATGTTCAATTTGGCCATGTTGCAGTTCGCGATGTCCATGATACTTTTACGTTTTGACTCAAATTTAGCCTGTAGGGTAGAGAATTGAAAAGGGTGATCAAGTTATGTAGTGGCTAAATACTTCAAAAAAAAGGGATTCAATGACTCACCTTTTSAGATTCTATGAATTTCTTATWGCTCAGGAGTTGCTCCTTCATTATCTCCTGTAATTCAGGGGTCACAATAGATATACTGTTATACTCTATAGCATGCTGTCATAAGGCTGATGGTGTCACATCCTCATGTACATAAAATTAACTAAATCAGTTTCTGTTCGTGCTGCGATCTGACGCTACATTTGAAAAACAGCCCATATTCAGTGTTTCCTCCTCGATTTGATTTATTTTTTTGAGTTTGTCTTTCACGTATGAAGAGTGCTGCAGGGYATTGTCCACGCTCACAACAGGAAAATGTCCGGAACATTCAGGGGAGGGGTCTGGATAAGTGCAATATGAGTACTGACCAGCAGGGGAGTGGGGAAGGAGGACACTCCGGCACAGCACAAGGCAAACAGGCCTATTTATGTGCATCTGCATTAATCCTGAAGTGTTCACCACCACTACAAAATTCTGATTCAGAAAACTTTAGTAATCCGAAAAGGGTAAATCATTTNAGTTGCTCCTTCATTATCTCCTGTAATTCAGGGGTCACAATAGATATACTGTTATACTCTATAGCATGCTGTCATAAGGCTGATGGTGTCACATCCTCATGTACATAAAATTAACTAAATCAGTTTCTGTTCGTGCTGCGATCTGACGCTACATTTGAAAAACAGCCCATATTCAGTGTTTCCTCCTCGATTTGATTTATTTTTTTGAGTTTGTCTTTCACGTATGAAGAGTGCTGCAGGGYATTGTCCACGCTCACAACAGGAAAATGTCCGGAACATTCAGGGGAGGGGTCTGGATAAGTGCAATATGAGTACTGACCAGCAGGGGAGTGGGGAAGGAGGACACTCCGGCACAGCACAAGGCAAACAGGCCTATTTATGTGCATCTGCATTAATCCTGAAGTGTTCACCACCACTACAAAATTCTGATTCAGAAAACTTTAGTAATCCGAAAAGGGTAAATCATTTTGCAGTCTGTCCCGATGTAAATGACCTTAGTGAAAACCCTTCATATTGATGAAATCTCCCACTGTACCCTTAAAAAACACACATGTAGACTGATAACAGTTAACCAATAATATATTTACCAGTTTTTCCTGCACTCCCAGTGAGTTTGCAAAGCAAACCAAACACATCATGGCGAATATTAGGCCCAGGACTCTGGTGCTTCTGGCCATTGCTGCTTTGTTCGGAGGTTTAAATTCAACTGTAGGGACAGAGAAAAGTCACAGGGAGTGAAGAAGTTTAATAATCATGTTTCCATCTATTTCTCTCATTTACCCAGGTTTGATTATAATGGACGATGAACGTAGATGTGGTGAAACTGAAGCATTTCATCAAGTAAAAGTGTGTGTGATTAAGCTGGAAACCATAAACCATCTGACCCTTTATAAGTGACATTAAGGGCATTAAGTGTTGTTTCATTCCTTACCAAAGCACTTTGTAACTTTGTTTAGAGAAGTGCTATAGCGGTAAAGTTTTATTATCATTATTTATATTATTATTAAATAGACCTCAGCCTCCACTTTTCTGTTTAGTAGTAAATGTTTAGTCATACTGTTGGTCTGTGTTGTTTTCTAGTGGTTTGTTAAGTTTTATTGTTACTTTCTTAGTTGCCTTTCTGTGGAGTGGTTTGCAGTGACAGCAGTGTACTGGAAACGGATCTGAACTGCTCAATAAATGCAGACACAAATGGGCACAAAGCACTGAGGGGTTAAAGTCGAATATATTGTATATAATATATGGAGACAAGCTTTACCACAATTAAGTCAGTTAAGAGTCTTATAGAAGAAACGTTACATATTTCTTAAACAGGGTTTCTGTAAGCAAGCAGCTTGAAACCGACTGGTCTAAATCCAGTGACAGTTTGTTAATACCAGGCGCAGGGGCGCCACCTGTTGGATAATAAAAGTCCAGCACAGGGCCAGATTTTAAGTCCAGACTTCTATTCCAAAACGTAAACTTCACAATTACTGGAGTCCCAATAGTTATTTTTTATCTTAAAATTGTATCTACAATTGTATCTTTGATTTTCTTGAACTTATCATATGGTTACTTAATGTGTGAGGCATGTGTTAATCCCCTGTCTCGTTTCATTTCCTGTTTCCATTGAAGAAAGCAGGTGTTGCTCAGAGGGTTTAAAGAGTTAACGGATGGAACCGGCCCTTTTAGGTGAATAGGTACCCGAGGGACACAAACAGCTGCATCTTGGTAAAAATATATGTGTCATCTTGTGATGCTATATGTCAGATCTTGTTGTGAAAACTAAGTTTCAATCTTGGTCCAAAAAATTCAGTCGAATGAAAAACAGCCTGAGCAGCACCAGAGAAGAACTCTGTCTAACAGTGGTGTGGTTCCGTCTTATAAACCCTTAGAGGCCACAACTCTCAGCATTTCATTGGTCTATTAGTACATCATGGCCTGAGCCCAGTGGTTACTTTGGCCAGCTTTTGGGACTCTGTCTTGCTCAGACATGTTTCTTTTTCTTTTAAACAGTTATTATTATTCTTGACACCATTATCTTCTGCTCAATCAGTTTACTAGTTTTTTTAAAAAGATATTGTGATTATTCTTGACACCAT